GGATGACAGATCTTTGTCACTGAAATTGCAATATCATGTTTTCACCAAAAAGTCCCGTGTTCTCTTATCAAATCTTGTACTTTTTCTTTTAGCTAGATATTTTCTTGAAAAGTACTCCAGAATTTTTCATCAGTAGTTGAGTCATGCTTCTGCTATTTACTACCAGCTTATAGTTCAGAGCAGGTGAAAATCCTGTAAAGGTAAAAAGAAAATACTGAAGCAGAAGGCAAAAGTCTTGCTTCCCAAAGGCTTGGAATGGGTGGAGTCTGGGGTTAGAGAATCACCTTGTGTGGTTTTGATTGCACTTCAAAATGCGCACAGTGGAAAAGTGGTGTTTACACCAAATTCGCTGAAAAGTCCAGCTAACACAAAAATAATTTGTACATTTTAACTTTTCACATATTTATATCTTGGTACATATGCAAAAAAGTGGTAGTACATGCTTTGTTTTTTAATTTTAGCTTTTGTTCTATTCTTATTTCCTGATAAGTGCTGATCTTACTTGGTTTCCTTCACGTTAGAAAGAATTATTCAATAGCCTTGAATTAAAATGTTTTGGTTTTATAGAAATAGCCTGTTGGATGAATATAACTGAAAATGGAGGTCTTTATCATATGTGCCTTTGAAGTTAATTTGAAGAAACTGCATGCATAAAGCCATTGTTACTTTGTAACCCCTTTAGATGTTGAAGGACTGAAGTCAGGCACGTTCTTGAGCTATTTGTGCATTTCATTCAGGTTCATCTGTCAGTTGTCTCAGCATTCACCTGTTTTTAATGCAGAGACAGTTTTTACTCATCAGTGCCTCTGTAGAACATCAAAATAGAGTATGTGACTGAAAATATGCAACAGTGAAAACAGTCTCTGTGTTTGAATCATAGCCTGGATGAACCACGTTTCCTTGTGGGAGACTGAGGAAGCATAAATTTAGAGTATTGGGAAAACATATTTTTCAGCTTGGTTGGAAACAAGAGCAACAAAGTAATTATTCCTGAATAAAAGCTGGCTGGGGGATGAGAAAATGCAGGGGTGACGTTTGTTTTGCAAAATTTCCTCGGTCTTTTTTGTGAGATGTTGGATTTCGTCTCATTTTCAGATGAGCCTTTGCAGGTTGGGAGGGAGTCATGTCTAAGTCCAGTTCCCATGTTGGCCAGCCTCTCCCTCAATTCATTTCCATCTTTGTAATCTGTTTGCAGCTTGCTTTGCCTGTGGGCCACCTTGTTATTCAGATGCTATGCAGTCTTTGGGGGAGTTCTGTCTGCGGGTTTTGGGATCAAGATTCGAAATTGCAGAATTTCAATTCAGTATTATTCAAATACTCCCTGATCATCATAATCTTTTAAGTGTATGTGAACATTTTGCTATAAGACTCTGGGTTTACCTTTTTTTTTTTTTTTGTATTTAGAAGAGAGGCCAAGAATTGGGAGACTTTTAATGTTCTGACGTGCCTTTAGTTTTTGGCTGCAAATGTCAAGTGAGTTTAGCTTTTGTTTTGTTTTTTACTGATTTGAATGCATAAAGACATGTGGTACCTAAATTAGGGCAGCAGAGGAGTTGCCAATCAGTAATGAAAATGCTCTGTCATTTTAACTGTGTGGGTGCTTAATAATTTTCCATAATAATCCTCTGCTTTAAAGCACAGAAGAAAAGGGATTACTATAGGAGTATTGTGCTCTTCTGCAGACAAGGAAACATGGCATCTTTCAAATAATGGAGAGACGCTTCTCTCCTCTGGTGCCTTAATTCTGAGCAGATAGATTATAATAACTATTCCTTTTTAAATACTGCCTTTCCTCTTTTGACATCAGAACACTTTAAAAAAAGGATAATGTCATAGAAACAGAAGCTGAGGCACAAAAGATTGAATTGCCCCAACCAAGGTAATCCAGCATGTCCACAGTGGAGTCAAGAATGAAATTCCCATTTCCTGAGTCCCATACCAAAGTTTTACCTTCTCGGCTAGTGCTTTTTGATGATTTTTTTGCCACTCTTTCCTCCTCTCCTTGCTCTTCTTCCCCCCTCACTACTGATTGCTGTTTCCATCACTCCTACTTGCATAACCCATTTTCCAAACCCATCCTGTGTCCTCCTCATTTCCCGCTTCTGCTACTGCCGCCTCTTCTCCAGCCACCCACTTACACTGACACCACCGTGGCAAAGCGTGGCTCCAGCGGAGCTGCTTTGCTTGGGCTTAAGCCATGTCTCCTGTTGTGCTGGTGTGACTCACAGTCAGCAGCCTCTGCACAGACTGTGTTGTCCCTGCTAAGCCCTTTGGGATCTAGAAGCTGTGCAGGTACCTTAGAGTGACAGCTGAGCTAATACAACTGCAAGACTTTGCCTTTTGCTGCCTAACGAATCTCTAACCTGTGCTTCATGGGCAGCAGAAAAAACAGTGGAAGCCTTGGAGCACACGCTCTTAATATTTGGTACCTGGAGATGTTTGGACCTCTATACTTTTGCATAAAGTTTTTTCAATGTTCAAGTGAACGCTGAGGGTTGAAAACCTGACTCTGCCAGCTTGAGCCAGGGAATATGTCTTTCCATGGGGGCTTGTGAATCTGCTTAGTTTTAAAGCATTTGCTTTGTCAGATAAAGAAAGTCAAGAGGTGCAGTTCTGGATCCCTTTTCTAACTTGAAGTTCAATTTGAATTCAAATATTGTTCTTGATTGCAAATAAACATTTGTATTTCCCTAAGAGAAAAATGGAGCACCCTACAGTCCTAGATGAATGCAGAGGCTTTGGGACTTCTGAACAGGTAGATATTTCATGCCCAAACTCAAGTAACTGAGTGACCCAAAAATAGCCTGCATAATTTAAGCATGTTTTCATGAAGAGAAGGTAGTTTGTGTGTGAGCTCAGAGACAAAGTTCCTTCCAGGATATATATGGAAAGCAGAGAGGTAGGCTGCCTTGTTTTGAAACTAGGAAAGGGATATGCAAACTGGCAGGGTAATAACTGCACTTGTCTTTTTCTTCAGGACATCTTTTTTTGTAAGCAGCTCTGTGCTCATTTCCTTTCTGAATGCCCTTGCCTTAGCCCTGCTTGCTCTCTTCTGTATTTCAGTCTGCTCATTTGTCCTAGCAGCCATTTGTTTCAGTGAAGTATTTTCTTTCTGGCGCTGAAACTTTAAGAAGAGAGAAGGCAATTTAGGTGAAAAATCACTTTATCCAGATTAATGACTGCTGCACTGACTGTTATCACAGCGGTATTAGCTAGATTATTTTTTTTGAGAGAACAGAACCCTCAGAAATTTATTCTATCTGAAATTGTAATTGTGGAGACACACCAGGTTGGTCCAGAAAAAGCGAGTCCTCGTGTACTCAGAGGAAAAGCTGTATGTATAGAAGGTGTGGTTGAGCCGTGCTTTCAATGTTAGCAAGTGATAAGCCACTAATTGCCAGTGGGTTCAGATGAGGGACCAGCATTGGGTCTTATAGCTGGGAGTTCATTGCCGAAAGCTGAGTTTGCAGAGAAGGAAACACAGATTTCATTTCCAGCAGGAAACAGAGTGTAACTGAACTGCAGAACATACTTCTGTTCTTACTTAACAGTGGCGTGAAGTCAGAAGTAGTTGGTGGCATTATTGAAAGCCTGTAGTCAGAATATACCCCCATGTATAGTTTTAATGCTTTAATAAAGATATGTACGTCCTGTCGGGGAAGGGGACAGGCTTGAAGGAATTAATGTTTTAATAATACCCCAGCAAAAGCTCCTTAACTGTGAAGCATCTGGGATGATGTGGATTCAATGCAATAGCTTCTGATATTTTCCAGTTTTCTTGTCTCCCTCTTTCCCTGTGTTTGTCAGAGCTGCCACTGTTGTGCAAGGGGAACTCTGGGGTTAGACAGACCTTAAGCTTTAGGGCGTCTCCTGAAGGACAGTGGATGGTAAGTGCTGTTCTGTTTGTGAGTGGTTTATTAAAGTCCTCCAAAAGACACGGTTACCTCAAATCAGAATGAGCAGATAGGACCTAAATGTACCTAGATGAAAACAGGACTGGTAGATGTAAAAAGCAGCACAGAATGACAGTTGTACCCAACCTGTTAGCTAAGGCTCAGGTATATGCAAAGTGCAGTGGAAGGAGAAGACCTACATGGGATTTACAGGACTGAATTGTTAGTATTCCTTATAGTAATGGAGATTTGAGCTACCTAAACACTGGGCCCTTGAGCTAGTGTTAAATAAAAAAATGGGGCAGATAAATCTATTTCTGGATTCTTAATACATTGTAAGAGGAAAAGATGTTCATTAGGCAAATCCTGGATGAACCTGGATCTACCTCTGGAGGTAAGAAATTTATCTTCTGAGAACGACAGCATAGTAACAGTGGGAAAAAAGTAGTTCTTGGGAGAAACTGAAGTAGAAATCAAGTACATAATACATTATCAAGGACTACAAAGGACTGTTCTAATTATGTACAAATTCAGATTATCAGCCTTTCTTCTATTCCTAAAATACAACTTGAGGTCTTGCTTGTTTTTTCTTTTGGAGTAGAATTTTGTGAAGACAAGATCCAGCTGCAGTTGATTTTGTTGTTTATAATTTAGCACTTACCAGAGCCATGAGTGTTTCTTCTGGGTTTTTGTACGTTTAATCTCTACTTCCTCCAGACCGTAGGAATACTATTCCTTTACGTTCCCAATCTCATCAGCAGTTGCAGATGCTGTGGCTTGCCTAGAAGGTTGTCAGCTCTTCTGAAGTTCCTCACATGAGGATAAAGGTGTGTATCCTTCCTTCACAGAAGTACTGTACCAAAAATGCTCAACCAACTAGAACACTGCTGATATGTAGTCCATAGTTGTCATTTGTAGCATCTAAAATGAAATTTAATCCCATTGTGTTTCTCAGTTCTTACTGGTGCATGTTTTGTGTGGCAAATCAAGTGCAACTCAGACACCTGGATTTCTTTCAGTTTTGTGTCAGCTGGACTGTTGTGGCTCAGTGAAGAACAAGTGAAGGACGGGGCCCAAAGAAGTAAGAAAAACTGAATTCATTTAATCAGCTAAAAAGACAAACATTTATTATTGTTGGGGAGGGAAAAGGAAGATACCTAGATAATTATAGGGTTTTTTACTCTTCCCTTGTAAAATTACTAATGGTGCGAATTCTTTAGACATCGGTTGTATCAAGTGTTTGCAGGCTTCATTTATTATCTACTAATCAAAATTAGCATTGTAGAACCAAAGCAATACCAAGCTTTTCTCCTACATTTCTGTTGAGAACACTGTATTTATTCAAGATTTTAGAAGCAAGTCTCTGGAAACCCCTGATTGCTTCAGAAAAGGATTCCCCTTTACACTATACAGCAGGCACTGAAACCATGATACAAAATTTATTTTCATGCTAGAATTGTTTTGCATAACATTGTGCATGCATTTTACTCAGTACTAAATTGCATACAATGCTGTTGTCTTGTTTCTTAAACTTTGAGACCATTTATACTTGAGTATTTTCCTGATTTTGTACTATAAGTCCCAGTTTTAAAATAACACCTCTTTTGTTTAAAATTCATACTGGTTACTTAATATGAACAATTTATGAAGGGTCTTTACGGATCTATACATCAATAAAATACAACATAACCAGAGCTGGAAAATTACCCAGCTGTTACTGTCAGGTCCGAAGGAAGGTCCCATGTGTCACAAGCATGCCAACAAAAACAGACAGGAAAAAGTTTTTCTTATTTTTATACACTTCTAGTTGGATTAAAAGTTCTTGATTTCCATGTCGGTGTGATGAACTGTGAAGGCGTGGTCAATATGACCGATGACTGCCTGATTGCACTTTTTAAAACCATTACTCTGTATCTTGTATACAAAAAGAAGCGATCCATAGCAAAGAAATGTACAGTTTTATAATGTTTTACATTTTGGCTACAACAATGTATGTAAAAGTAAAGAGCTTTGAAAGAAAATATATAACTTTGCTTTTTTTTTTTCCTTCTTAATCATACATTTGCAGTGTTTCTTGTGTGTGTGTTGTTTTGGGGTTTTTTGTTTGTTTTGGTTTTTTGTTGGTTTTTTTTTTTCATTTTCATTTTTTGTCTTCATGCAATTCATGCTATGGAACAAAAAAATAGATTAAAAAAAAAAAGATCTTCTACAGTTTTGTTACATTTTGGCCGTAGAAAAAGCCTGCATCTCTAGTACAACTCCAGAACCATGAAGAATCATCCATAAAACCTGCATGGAGCGAGTTAACTTTGTCCAAATGAGAAGGTCTTCTATGCCTGCACAGTTCCACACAGATGTTTATTAGCCATCAATGTTCATCTCCATCTTGCCTTGTCAGGTCACTCTGACTGCCTCTGTTGGCATATATTTAGCAATGACTGGACTTTCTTTGCAAAGATCTGCATGTAAAGAATACAATCAGTACTTGAGCTTCTTCCCTGTGCTTTTCACATCAAGCTCGGCATCTTAGTTTTAAAGGAAGGAGGAAAAGGTGAGATAGCTACATGCAGAGGCAGCCATATTCTTCTTCAACAGGATTTTTTTTTCCATGCAGTCAGCCAGACTGAGACCTCTCTACAGTGTGTCTGAGTATTGCTTTCAGCTTAAAATAGGTGCCCATGCAAAGTTTCATCCTACTGTGCTTGTTTGCTCAAACTCCTGCAGGGTTCCTATGGCTCAAAAATATCCTGAGAAAAGCAAAATCTTCCATCGTTGGCATGTTTCAGCATCGACTAAATGCCTAACCCATTCCATACAGAGCCAGTAGATCCACCATTAGCCAAAATAAGCACATACTAGCAGGATGCACCAGGAAGGAAGCTATCTGGTGCATCTACCCTTCATCCTATGTACTGATACCATGCAGCACGTATGGCCCACCAGTACTACGCCAATGCCTGCCTATGTCATCTGAGTGCTATTTAGGAGTGTTGTCACCTAGCATCAGTAGTAACACCGTTTCCAGCAGGTGCTACTGTGAGACATTGCATCTTCAGACTTAGTCACCTGGACTATATGCAACATGGCATAGGCTAATTGAAAATAAAGCTTTTTAGACCATTCTCTGCTACTGATCCATGCTACAAAATAGATGGGATGGGAGACCAAGAACGTCTCACTGGACTAGGAGAGCTGTAGGGCGCAGACACTGAGGATAATCCTATCGCTTTTCCACTTATGCCAGCTATGCTGTTAAGGCTCCGTGACATTTCGTAACCTTCATTTAAAAGAAAAATGCAAAGTACAGCATTGGATCAATGACAGAATGGACTAAGAATGAGGTCAACATTGTAGCCAGTTCAATAGCATCTGCATGCACAGACATGCCGAGAGTAGTATCGCTTGCAACGTGACTCAGAAGGCCGTTGAAATACGGAACAAGTTTAAAATATATATATTTAAAAAAAAAATCATCATTTCTCAAGGATGGTCAGGCTATGTAATTGGTCCTATAGGCAGCAACATGGTTGTACCCTAAAAAACAGAAGAGTCAGTGGGAGGGATTTTCTATGTCTCCATCATACACTCACACATACTTCTCCCTTCCACTTCATGCATTTTTACTTCAGGCAAAATTAAGGTTTCTGGCATCTTTGGGGGCAGGAGGGGGAAAAGGCAGCATAGAATTTATTTTGTTGCTATAGAGATACTACTCCTTTGTTCTCAGCATTAAAAAAAAAAAGAAAAATAAACCCAAAATTGCATGCATTGTTTCCCTCCCTCCCTCCCCCCCCCGCTTCTTTTTCAGACGTGCACGTAAACAGCTCAGCAAGTGTACAGAGAGTTGCACAAACTATGGATGAAATTCTGTTGGAACAACAATTAAGATGCTCTCAACGTGTTTCAAACAGGCCAACAATATGCTGACGTATATTACTCTTTAGCCAACCAGCCTCTGTTTCATTCAGTAACGAGAGGCGGTTGCAGTGCATCGTGAAAACCATACATTCCCCATCCCAAAGGATGTGCCATTTGGAGTGTTCCCCTGATCCACTGGAACCACCTGAACTCGCCCAGGCTGAATGAACACGGCCAATGCTTATCCAATACAGAATCAAGTAAAATGCTTTGCTACAAAGGTAAATTTTAGAGGATATACTTTCATATGAAAGTCTTGTGGTCCTACTATATCTGTTGATGATGAGCTTTAAACTTATAAATACATACACTATCTATAACTGGCATTTACTATAACTATTGCCCATCATAAAATGGCACATGGGAATTCTATACTCCATACTCAGTGTATGGTTACGTCATACAATCTTTGCGGTTTTAAAATATTGACTATATCATATACTATATACAGTACACCAGTGGTAAACACTGATTTGAAGAGAGAAATTTCTTTTCCAAATTTCCTGTTCCTTATCAACTTTGATGCATATAGATGTAACTCTAATTTTGGTTTGCATGGTTTCCTCACTTTACATTATTTAAACACAACAGCCTATTTTAAGAAGGGAAGGGTTTTTTCTTATGATTTGACTTCTGTTGCTAAATAGATTATTCTGACCATTAGCAAACTAAAATGAAGTTACTTCTGAGATTTTTGTAGCTGTCAGAAGTCTGAGAAACTAATAATGATTTATTTATGAAAGGATTTTAGATGGATTATTTTCCAATTGTAAGACACCTGTGCCAACAGATGTTCATGCTTTCCTCTCTCTGTTGAACTAAGCAGTTATGAATACCCAAATACTTTGTTTTAGTGCTCTGTTAAGGTAGCTGAATAATCATTTCACATTTCTTGAGGATGTTTTGCTTTTGTGTTTTATCTCTTCTGTCAGCCACCTCCAAGTCTGTGCTCCTCAGAGTTTGGTAAGATTTGTGAGCTTTCCAAGTGGCAAACCTTCATTGCTATGAAATGTTAATTGGTCTCTCCTTAGAGGACGGGCTAATTTAAGGGCATAGTAGAGCATCCTCCACTAAAGCTTACTGCACCAGCTGGGGTGGAAGACTTGACTGCCTAGCATAGCTGCATGGGGTAGTTACAGCTCCTCAGGCTTTTCTTTCTGAAAGAAATAGGTTAGAAACTCCAAATGCAGACATCAGGTGGTGGTTTCCAGCCCAAACGTGCATCTCTACAGCAAGCGCACTATCGCGTGCTACAGCTACAGCTGACTTTCTCTTATTTATTTAAAATGGTTGCTAACTACATGGTCACAGGACCCCAGCTACATACCCTTTCTTATTCCTCCATCAGGCGGGCAGGGATATTCCCCGGTTGATAAGAGGAAGCAGGGTCCATATCTCTCCCGAGTGCCAGAGCGCGTAAAGGGCAGGCCCTCATCAGGCGTAATAGCCTGGTCTATGTGGGGACAGTCTTCGTTTGCCAGCGCCGCCTTGGCCACCTCACCATTCAGTTTCGAATCTTCAAACATATAAGCAGAAGGCTATTGAAACACTATGCACTGTTTATTAGAGTTCCAGCTGCAAATTAAGGGTTCACAGCTAAAGACTTCTATAGCGACACTATAAAAGGTAGCACATCTGTCCTAGACACTGCGTTCGTGTGCACTGCACCAAAATAAAATAAAGTCTGTTAAAGTGGGAGGAGAAACAAAAAGTGATCACGTTAGGGGTAACAGCAGCCACCTGTACATCCGCACAGAGGGGCACTTTCAGAAACGGGCGTGCATTGGTTCCTAGTCCTGCGAGCAGAAGACTGCGGTTAGAAATCAGATTATGTTTTCGCATGACGTCAGATGGTGCATGAATGACTGGTTTGTCATGGAGCCTACTGTCACTCAGAACTCTGGAGAGGCAGTGGACTGTGAGTTGTGTGTTAGAATTTGAGTATATTCTGTTTGTGCTGATTTATGCCCGTGTGCAGTATTACTGAGGGGGAAATTCCTGCTCTTCCCCTCCCCAAAATTTACCGAGATGGTTCTATAGCATTTCCAGTATCAGTCATGCAGAATGGCTCTACACATTTTAGACACACAGAGTATGTTACATATGGAAATACAACAGCAGAACGTGGATTTAAGAAAAAACAATCCATTTTCTGATGTTCTCCTCTGAAACACGTACAGTATTTGCAATGCCAGCACAGGACACTACATACAGAAAACACTACAGCAGGCCATGAATTTGGAAACTAGATAGAGTAAAATTTACTCTTGGCTGTAAGTGATAAAAATAGGTTGTCAGATTTTCCCACCTTGCTCCACGCATTCCCATGAGGATAGACTGAGAATCATATGTTTTCTCTGTGTGACTGATTTTACATTTATAACACAAAGTGCTGTTTAGTGGAGTATTTGTTTTAGGGCTTTAAAGTGCAAATTAGTGTATTGAGAATATACTCGAAATATGGCACAGCTCGATATGAGTATTTTGGTTGAAGGGAGGAAAAACAGTCAAAATGTGCTTTCTGAAGCTTCACAAATGCTGAGATATGTTAACTGAGTGGTACTGGCAGCATCCTACACCTCGGTTGCACAATGCTTATTACCTAGACACTGTAAGGCAATGGGTGATTCTGCAAGTCTTTAAGGAAAGACAAACTTAACAGATAGACTTAATTTCAGTGCCACTTCTAGATTCACATACTAGCTTGTTCTGAGTGCTACATAATACTTTCATTTATTTTTCAATTATTTCGAAGCCAAGTAATAAAACAAGCCCAAGGGAAAAAAAAACATTAGGTAGGGTTTGGAGAGATGATTCTGATCTTCTGATGGACAACATACATGAGTAGAAGGCAAAAGTGTTTTCAAGTTATATTTGTTGCTTCGCACACAGACACGCACACTCACACACACACATGTATATCACACACTAGTAATTGCATTCTATGCCTTTATTTTTCTTCTATTTAAATGTCACTGGCTTGTCACAACGTTAACAGCCTTTTCTGCAGATCTCACCTCTGCCTCTTTTTTTCCTCTATGCAGAATCAGCCAGTTATTTCCCCAGAGAGGGAGGTAGTGATGTTTTGTGAGCAACGAAATAATTAGGTCTCTCAATACGTTAAAAAAAAAAGACGAAAGCTATAGGTGCATTTTAATACTTGTGGACACTAATTTCAATATGATTCTAAAGTTGTGAGGTTCCACTGAGCTGCAATTCCTTTCTGTTTATAATACTCACTGCTATTTAATACCACTCTGCACAAAAACTTGGTACAGCTGCCATAGTAACCGTGACATTGCAGGTACTGAGCCGTTGATTTAAAAATCACTTAACTGTGTTTGGGGAGAGCCGCAGTCCTCTTGGGGATGAGCAAAGAACTGGGCTGCTTCATAAGCCTCTACTGCTACAAGCTCATGGCTCTAATCCTGAAATGAGGGAGGCAGCTGTGTCAGCAGAGCTCTACACTGAAATCTCTGAGACACCCACTGCTACTCCTGAGCCCAGGTTTGCAAACTAAATTGTTAGTGCTGCAGGGGGAATTGGTCCATTTCAGGAGCTCAAAACCTTTCTGAGCAGAGTGGTTGTGGGTCAGGCTGCTCACTGGTAACAGCCATTGGTCCTTTTGGAAGCAGCTTGCAGGCTCTGTTGTGCTTGAGTGGCAAGAATATTGACCTTCTTTGAATTAATTTCTTAAATTGCATTATAAATCTCTAGCAACTTGAGCTGGAACTTGCTCTTGCAGCCCCCTCAGGGTCCCTTCACATTGATGAATTTTTCTCTATGCTTGTTAAAAATCCACAGCTTTGTTATTTTATTTCTATTCAAGAGGAAGAGAACAGAGTAGCTGGAGATGCGGAAAAATTGCTGAACTATTCTACTAATGTCCCTTGAACATTACATGCATGGGCCATGCCTTAGGATTCACATTCTGGATAACAATGCTAATCCATAATGACAATTTGGCTAAATATTTAGGAAGTAGAGAAGTTGCCAGCACAGAAGACTGCATCTATTGCTGGTGTATATAAGTAAGTGTTAATTAGAGTGGCTGTGTTCCAAACCACTGGCTGCAGCACCTAATTCCCTGGAGACAGGACACAACAATCACTTGGTATTTAATATGTGATTAGTCTGTTATGGGAATAAAGAAAACATCTCTGATGTCATCAATCCAATGAGAAGTCCTCATTGTTTTCATTAGCAGATCTACGAGCTGAACTTTAGGAAGAAGGTATAAAGATTGAATGGAATTATGTTATTTTAGTTTGATTTCTCAAGTTTCCATTTGCATGTTTGTTTTTTCCGACTGACTTTGTCTTTGAGAGAACTCCAGTTGAAGCAAACCTACTGCAACGATTGCTGTCTGGTGGCTACCAGTCTAGTTATACTAATGACAACTGCTTCTAGGTGCTTAAAGATTCTAAGGCTTCATTCTGGCCTGCCAAATTCACACGAGTCTTGCCATCCCCCCTAGCTGAATCTGAATTAGGCTTGTACAGCATTTTTTGTTCTTTAGGTTCTGTTCCATGAAGAAAGTCAATATTATCACCTCTGTTTTACAGATGGGTAAAACTACCATATAGTGAAGTGACTTACCTACTGCTATGTAAGAGGTTATTTACAACAAAATTTTCTGACTCTCAGCTTGGCACCTTATCTCCCTAATTGTCCTATCTGTGAATACCTAGTTAACTGCACCAACTTTAAACATTCTCCTGCAGAGATTTGGCTGAGAGGCTAAAGAAAGTAGTCAGCATATTTCCCAGGTGAGTAGTTTGTTTCTCAACTACCTTGTCAGTGTGGCTTCCGCTTGTTTTTTTTTTCCTGTCTCATCCATCTCCATCTGCTATCTCTATCTATCTGCACACCCAAATACCTTGGGTGTTTCCAAGCAAAACTTAGGAGAACTGCTGGATTTGGCATTAGTATACTTTGCTGATTGTGGAGAAGCACAGTAGAGACTGCCTGGGTACCTGCTGCTGCATGGCTCATCTCTCTTGTAGTTTTTTTGCAAATTTTTTGCAATTGGTTGCAAACTGTCATAGTGGCTTTACCAGTGTTGCTAGTTTTGATTATAAGCTAGGGTCTGGCCCTGAATCTCCAGCTATTTGAACTGCATCTTATGTTCAGAGTATCAATGATATACTTATTACCTCAATCTATGCTTGGAAATGTGGCACTAGTACAGAAATGGCTCTTGCACTGGGAAAGTCACCCCAGTCCTCTTCCCTTAAGCAGACACTGCCATTCTCCAACTGCTGCTAAGAAACAAGTTCCTGGTCTACCCTTCTCACTTCAGATACCTTCAGAAATGAGGTGTGGGCCAGGGATGGTCGCAATTCACACTGCTTCCTCTTGGGGGTTGCAGGTTTGACTGAAACAGGGCTGAGAGAAACCCCACAGTTCATAGCATGGTACCCATGTATAGTTACCTATGAGTCAGTGTCAGACTACATGGGCCGTGACAGATTCTTTCACATTATGCTAAAGAAGATGAGGTCTTCTCAGCCCTAGATCAGAAACACAGCAATTAAGAGACACAGTACTGTTTTTTTGGTTACATTAGGTCACTGACAATCTCCTCCAGAAGAACAGAGACTATCTTCCTCCCAACTACCCCTGTTTAAAGATTGAAAGAGACAAGGACACAGCTTGAGTACCTACAGCTTCCCTGAGCAGCCATTTGCCATTCCACAAAGGCTCAAGTGACTTCAGGGCTCTGCAGCCCTGTTAAAAGGTAAGGGGTTGACTGGCAGGAAGGAGGCAGGAGCAACTGAATGCAAAGAAGGGCCAGAACTGAGAAGGTAAGTTGCTTGAGAGATGAAGATGTTGCTACTGGGGAAACCTCGTCTGAGTAAAGTTACGTTCCACACCACAACTCCATGTACACCTAAAAATTAAGCTTGTCTAGATCTCAGCTGTGCTCTTATAGTCCTGATCCCAAACCTAGGATTACTGTCTGTGGCTAGTGCCACTCCTGATCAGTTGAGAGTGTCCTTTGGCTCTCATTCAGAACTTGAGGGTCATTTTCATTTGCTCGTTTTAAACCTGTTGCTAACCCTAGCACACACAGTAGCTGCCTGAAATGTCTTATGAAGAAGGATCTCCACAAGGTCCCTAACAACAGAGACCTTTAATCCAACTGGATCTCTAAAGAAAGAATTGGTATGTTGTCCACTGAGTTAATTACTCTTCTGTTTTTCAGTCCTCTCACGCTTTCTGGTGGTGTAAAAGGGCTGGTACTGTGTCATATTATGCTGGCAATGGGAAATTCTTTTTGGTATGATGGCTTTCCCTGGCTCTAGGGCTAGTGACAGAAAGCTATAGGAGCAGAGGTGTGCTCTAGCTTTTCTTAGCTACAAGCCTATTAGCTGGAAGTGGGAAGTTGAGCAGCACTGAGGCTGCTGAAGAACAGATTTTTCATATGCCTTTATTCTAAAAAAAAAAAAAAAAGCAAGGATTTTACATTTCTTTTTGCATCCTAGTTTTGCAGCATCACTTTTGCCTAATACC